CACACACACACACACACAAGCACACTCAAAGAGACATTCTCTCTTTCTCTCTCTCTCTCTCTCTCTCTCTCTCTCTCTCTCTCTTTTCGTTTTCTCACTTTGTGTCCCCCTATCTGTCTCTCCCGTCTTCCCCTCTTAACCAAACCTCTATCTCTCCCACTCTCTCCCTCTGGTGGGCAGAAGCAAGAAGATACTGAGCCTACCTAGGTGTAGCTGTGACCAGGAAGAAGGAGACGACGACGACGAAGTTGACTACGCCACGTCAGAGGAAATGTTTCCCAAGATCGAGTTCTCAGGAGTGAGTACGTCCTTGGCATTTCATTATACCTAGAGTGACGTAGCAGAAAATGCTTCAAGCTCTTTCTTACTTGCACACAGGATTACCCCTGGTTTCCCATAATTATGTCACTGCTTCCTGGACGGTCTGCTGGGTGATGTTTGAACTAATTGCACCAGAAAGGAAGACGACTGCTGTCCGATCCATCATGAATATGCAAATGTGAAGAAAGTCGTGCAGCTTCGTACAGTACATAGTAAATGTTTTACAAAAAAAAAAGCACTTCTCAAAATGTATAATCCCATATCCCTATCGGATTCTCGTGGGTTAAGTATTTTTGCATGGTACAATGTATTTCTAACCCGATCTGATCTGATCGTACTAGCTTGTAACAAAATTGTTGCCGAATGTGTTGGTTCATCTAAAAACATTGAGGAGGTTTACAATTTGTCCAACTTTCAGCACATGAATACTGTAAAACTTGTATTGAATTAGTAATGATATATAGTATCTAGGAATGACAGAGTAACCAGAGCACCCTTATACAAATATTATACATAAATGTATTATTTAAGCAAACAATGCATTATTCATCATAAAACTTTGATTGCCATGGCCATGGCTAAACCATCTTTGGACCCCTCATTTTTAAAAATTCTCCCCCCTCATCTGATATAAATCATTTTTAACGTTTGAGGAAAGCATAGTATGTTTTTGTCTTTTCTGACAAATTTAAACTTTATTACTGCTTTGGCGACTCTGTATTGTCAAAACTGACGTGAAAATCGTGAGTAGTGTTTTTCACAACTGCTGTTTTCTATAGCTAATCTAGGCAAACAATCACTTTGTTACACACGAACACATGTGTCCGCCCAAGGAACAAGAGAACGGTACTGTGATCTGTCAGTAATTATCATAGGCTTGTACGCTTTTTTATCCATTTGGGCTGTGTGGTTTTAATACTTTGAACTGTTAACTTGCTGAATAACATATTGTGATGAAGATGAAGTCAAAGCTAAAACTGAAATTCTTTACTCACAAGAACATTGCTCTGAAAGTACAACCGAAGACGTCGAGGTGACAAAGAGAGGTCGACCTGTTAAATTTGATACCTTTGACAGAGATCTCGTGGGACGCGCTATTGGAAAGATGTTAGGTGATAACCAGTACGTCACACTTAGAACACTTTTGTCTTATTTGAAAAGCAATCACGATTTGGATATCTACTAACAGACCTTATGGCGCATTGTGAAGAGTCTAGGTTTCAGTTTCAAGAAGACTTAAACATCCAAAGACGTATTTTGTGAGTCAAAGAACATGGTTGCACTGAGGGGGAAAGTACCTACGAAAATTAAAACACTTAGAGAAGACAACGTTGACATTTATTTTCTTGATGAGTCCTAAATCAATGCCCACCAAACGTGCACCAAAGAATGGCAATCTGACACCCAACAGAGAGCCATTCCGACTGGAAAAGGTAAACGTCCTATAGTTGTGCATATCGGAAGCCATGAGAGAGGACTAGTGAATAATTGTGAACTGGTTTTTGAGTCGAAGTCGAAAGATGAAAATGGCGACTATCACAAAGACATGGATAGTAACGAGTTTGAAAACTGGATTAGTAACACTGTGGTGCCTGCATTAGATAAAAAAATCATGCCTGGTTATGAACAATGCATCATATCATAATGTAAACTAATCCTGATGATAAAGTCCCTACAAAATCTATGAACAAAGGCCCTATAATAGCCTGGCTTGATAAGCATGGGATCGACCATAGTACAGCGAAAACCAAAAAGGATCTCCCAGACAATGTGAACGCCAGCGAACAGAGCAAGATAGAAGTTTTTCGAGTAGACAAGTACCTGGAAGAACATGGTCACATACCTCTTAGGCTCCCTCCTTACCTCCCTCAGCTTAACACTATTGAATTAATCTGGGCTGAGATGAAGAAAAAGGTTTCTTTGGCAAATACAACATTTAAACTCCATGACGTTAAGCGACACACAACGCAGGCCTTATCAAGTATAATCAGAGAATTTTGGCAAAAGTGTGAGGGCCATGTCAAAGCAACAGAGGAAAGATACTGGAGAAATGATGGATTAAATTTCCCTAAGCAGCCTAGTGTAGTCATCAACCTGTTTGACGATACATCTGATTCTGAATAATTGGTGAGTGTTAAAATATGTTTAAATGTGTCTCGTAGATCTGTCACTATCTCTCTATAGGTTTGTCTGTCTGTCTGTATAACGATCAATGTCGCTTCAGATAATGGTTATGAAATTGTTCAGAACTGGCGACGCCTATGAACATCCAGGAAACTAGCAATTTGTCCGACTTTCAGCACGTAATTACTGTAAAACTTGTATTGAAGTAGTAATGATACATCGTAATTAATTAACCAGCCACAATTTCGGAAAATTGATTGCATTCCCCAGTGAACGAGATGGATAGTAAGCTCTTCTCAAAATATGAAGGTGATCGGTTGGGTAGTCTTTAAGATATCCTGCGTCAAACATCGGCAATATTTTTGTTACAGGCTATAGTAAAAGCCTGTTGATGTGGGACTCTTCTTCCGCCAGTAGAGGTTTTGATATTCTGGGTTTACTCAGATGTCAGGAAGGTTAAATGGACATAAATAGTGTTAATGCCTTAGCTCAAAATTGCAAGGTCATATTATAATAATATGTAAAAATTATCCCCTGTTTAGCGCGAATTCCCGCTCAAAAGCAAGCTCTATGCGCTTTACTACCTATATCATTACCCCAGCATACCTGACAGCATTCTGAACTAATCTCAACTCTGTTCAGTGCATACGATAACACCGGAGAGGCAAAAAACCTGAAGCAGGGACAAAATATGACTTTTTGATTTATTGCGTTGTTTTGCAACTAATACATTCGAATACTGTTTTGATTTGCCCAGTTGTATGCCACGTTTCTGCCAAAGATCGGCCTGTCTTTGATATAGTCTGAAATGCATTAGTAACTCACACACACAAACATTTCAAATGCCCAGATGTGTATGTATATATCACAATAATCATGCAGTGGGTTTTTTTTGGTTTTTTTGTTTTGGTAATGTGGGTGCTTTTACGTGCACATCGACACAATGTCATTTAAGAGGAGTATTTCGACACTGCCAGTCAGGTTCATCAGTCCAGACTGGGAGAGATAGATGATCCTTGCAGGAAGACCGAGATATTCAATAAATATTCTCCTTCTTCGGTATTCGAATCAGGTCTTCCGCTTGCGACTACGAATCATATTCAATATACCAAAGCGCTAATATGGTGTCTGTAATGAGATGCACAAATAGAAACGTTTATTCACACGTTTGGAAAATAGTGATATCGATCAACTTCTTATATCCGTCAAGAAGTTGTATCTCTCTCACCCCTCTCATCCTCTACAGTTAATTGGCTACTCCCCCTCCCCCTTACATGCACACACACACACACACACACACACACACACACACACACACACACACACACATACATATACACACATAATTACACAAATGCAAAGAGAGAGAGACACACACACACATAGAGAGACACAGACAGACAGACAGACAGACTGACAGACAGACCGACAGACAGACAGACAGACAGACAGACAGACAGACAGACAGACAGACAGACACACAGACAGACAGAAGACAGACAGACAAACAGACATACAGACAGATAGACAGACAACAGACAGACAGATAGACAGACAGTCAAAAAATGGTACGGTCATCGATTAACAAAAAAGTTCTTCTCGTCCTCATGTCCTCTGCCAGCAACAGTGAAAAGATTTAGGGGTCTTTCACACATTCAGTTAAAACTGACAGTTGTCCGTCCTCTAATTGTGATAACAAAATGATACTCGGTGCAATATCAACACATTACAATTTTTGCTTCTGCGAACTTCTAAATCCATGAGAAAAAGGAGTCAGTCCGAATTTGATATTACTTTTATGTTCAAACGTAGTTTTCAATAAGTTTACTACCCCCAGTGGGTCGGGGGGGATATAAATAGACCCAGTGCCCCGCCAGCAGGAGGTGCAACCCCTTCACTGGCGATTTGTCGCCCATGGACATCTACGCTCAGGTGCACATGGGCGACACTTGCTTTGGTGTATCGTCTATCTTCTATCGTCTTTCTTCATTCTTCTTTCGTCCTTCCCCGAGCTGACCGGGGAATAAAAATTTTTTTAACCCGCTGGTGGGATGCCACTCGTACGTCACTAGCTCCCTGACGTAGGGGTGACATCTTTTGTCCGCTCTTGCTATGTCTTTTGTCCATCTATCTTTCTTTCCGATCTGTCGACCGAAGGTCCGGCAAGAAAAAAATTCGACCCCAAATCCCCGCAACGCGAGGCACCCCGTGGGGTGCGACACGTACGACCAGAGAAGGGGACCCTCTCCACACTCTCCTTCCAAAAAAGCTGCGGTCCACCGTGACCGCAGCCAAACAAAACAAAGGCAAAGGTCACCAACGACTAAAAAAACCCATACCGAACCCGTGCCCTCAAAATAAATAAAAATGGCAGTTCTTCAGTGGAACATTCGCGGTTTGCGTGCAAACCAGGCAGAACTCTCATATCTTTTGACCTCACACACCCCAAATGTAATTTGTCTACAAGAAACTAAATTGCCAACACCCACATTCACATTAAAAAACTATCAAACTTACAACCAAATATACACCGACAACCAAATTGCCTCTGGGGGCAACTCCATTTTAATAAATAACCAAACACTACACAGACGAATACAATTAAACACAACTTTTCAGGCAGTTTGGTCAGGATCACCCTACACCGCCCTATAACCATCTGTTCAATATACATCCCTCCAAATTATCCTCTATCTTTAAGAGAACTAATAAACCTCAGAGAACAGCTCCCACAACCCTTTATCATGTTGGGAGATTTTAATGCCCATAGCCCTCTTTGGGGAAATGAACCAACTGATACTAAAGGTAAAATCATAGAATATTTCTTAACAAAAATCAATACTAGTATTTTTAACGACCATTCCCCAACATTTCAAAATTCAAATAACCTAAATTTTTCATCCATAGATTTAACCCTATGTGATCCAGAACTAATTCCAGACTTCCAGTGGTCGGTCCTGGACGACCCACACAGATCGGACCACTTCCCCATCAACCTAATTCCAGACATTCTACACCGAACTCCTATCCCCGACCGATTCAATCTTAAAAGAGCGGACTGGGATGGGTTTCACATGGAATGTCTGGAGAAACTCAATCCATCTCAAACACAAACACAAACTTTTGAACGATTTCATGAAACCCTTCTCGAGATCGTTCAAAAACACATACCAAAAGTATCCACCAAACCCCGAAAAAATAAATGTTGGTTCACTGAAGACTGCCAAAAAGCTGTTGCGGCCAAAAAATCAGCTCTCAGGAAGTTCGTCAACTCTAAAACAAACGAAGACCTCACTAATTTCAAAATTGCGCGAGCCCAAGCACACAGAATAATCAGAACGGCCAAAAAAACATCTTTTCGAAATTATGTCTCAAAAATAAACAACAACACACCAATGCACAAAGTCTGGAAGATGATAAAGGAATTAAAAGGTACTAAAAAAGACACAATCAAACACATCCTAAAACCAAATAACTCCTTCGTAGAGACCGAAAAAAATAGTAGCTGACTATATAGTATCAACTCTCTCCGGAAATTCCCACAATTACAACTCTGAATTCAAAAAAGTAAAAATGTCTTCTGAAAAGACAACTGTTGATTTTACCTCTTCAAATGAAGAAAACTATAATTGCAGCTTTTCTCTTAATGAATTAAAATGTAATATTGCAAAACTATCAAACACATCTCCAGGCCCTGATCAAATACGCAACGAAATCATCAGACGTCTTCCAGACGAAACACTCCTATTACTCCTTGATATTTACAATGAACTCTGGCATTCTCAACAATTTCCGAACAGTTGGCGTCTTGCCACTATTATACCGATCCCAAAACCAGGAAAAGATCACTTTAACCCATCAAACTACCGTCCCATAACCCTTACAAACTGTTTCTGTAAACGTATGGAAAAACTTATTAACAAACGTCTAATGTGGTTTCTCGAAACCTCAAACTCCTTATCCAATTTCCAATGCGGTTTTCGCAAAAATCACTCTACTATTGACCATCTCGTCCGACCTGAAACTTTCATTCGGGAAGCTTTCATTCGGAACGTGCACCTTGTAGCTATTTTTTTTCGACTTAGAAAAAGCCTTCGACACCACATGGAAACATGGTATTTTAAAAAACCAGCGTGACTTGGGCTTACGCGGAAATCTTCCCGAATTTATACGAACATTTTTGAAAGATCGATCATTTCAAGTAAAAGTAGGTTCAACCTTATCAAATTTACACACCCACACCCAAGAAGAAGGCGTCCCCCAGGGAAGCATCTTATCGCCCATTCTTTTCGAAATCAAAATCAATTCCATCACAAAAACCCTTCAAAACAATATTGACTGCTCACTTTACGTTGACGACTTCCTGATCTGCTATAAATCCAAATCCAAAATAGATCACATTGAACGTCAGCTTCAGCTTCAACTCCATACACTGGAAACTTGGGCAAACAGGCACGGGTTTAAATTTTCCACAAAAAAACATTTTTGTCTGTTGCACAAGTGTGTGCGACAACCAGGTTTATATTTGTTAGGAGAGAAAATTCCTGTAAAAAAACAAGCTCGTTTCCTGGGCGTAACCTTCGACAATAAACTTTCTTTCCTGCCGCACTTGAAAGACCTAAAGGGCCGTGTGTCCGATGCGCAATCGAGTAAAAATGACTTCGTCTCTTCTGGAGAGATCCGAAGGATTTCGCTGTTCTAGTCTGGGTTTAATTTCATATAATTTATTATTTTTCTGGTTTTCCCAGTGGCTCTCCCACAGACTGGAGGTGTACTTTTTGACTTTACCGTTCCCTTATCCGTTCCAGGCTGGACTATGCCAGTCCTGTTTACAGATCAGCTAGAAAATCTTACCTTAAAATTTTAGACCCTGTTCAGAACCAAGGCCTTCACCTTGCCCTAGTCGCTTTCGTACTTCACTTGTAGAAAGTCTACAGGCAGGAGCTCATGAACCATCTTTAGAACTTAGAAGGAAAAAACTATCTTTGCAGTACGCTTTGAAACTTAGCTCAGTGCCCCAAAACCCAGCCCACAAATGTGTCTTTGGCCTTCCCAAAGATCTAAAAACTCTATTCTCCTTAGAAAATAAAGTAAGCCCTTTCGGAATAAGAATCCAGAACGATCTCAAAAACATTGATTTTTCTGAAGACATAATCGAGCCCTTTGCCATGCCCAGCGTACCTCCATGGCATTTAACCAAACCAAACATAGATACTAGTCTTGAAAAACACAACAGTAAGAGCTGCTGCCCTTGCATCGCCACACAGCTTAAGCTTAAGGAAACTCCACCCAGAAGCCTCAGTCTACACTGCTGAGGCTACAGCTTTTGAAATGGCCCTAAATATAATAGATCAATCAACCAAGTCTACTTTCTTAATTCTTTCAGACTCTCTCTCTTGTCTGAAATCTTTAGAACGTTCTGACGCCTCCGACAACAGAATTTTAAAACTTATAATTAAACTGCATTTTCTACATCAGTCTGGAAAAGCTATTACAATAGCTTGGCTTCCACGCCATGTAGGCATTGATGGCAACGAGGCCGTTGACCAATTTGCCAAAGAATCTCTAAAACTACCTGAAAACCAAAATAGTAAAATCCCTTTCTCTGACATGAAACCGAAAGTGAAAGAACATATCACATCCTCCTGGTCCCAAATTTGGAATCAACAAATACGCAACAAACTCCATTACATTCAACCGAAACTTACGCCCAGGAAACCACTATCTCTCCTACGAAGAGTAAAAAGTAATTTTTACCAGACTAAAAATAGGACACACGCACGTCAAATACAAATATTTGCTCGAAGGAGAGGAAGCTCCTTTTTGCGTGGCGTGCAACACAAATTTCACAGTTCGCCACATCCTAACGGAATGTGTCGAATTTAATTATGTCCGTAAGAAATATTTTAAATGTAAAGATATTAAGACCCTTTTTGAAATCGTAGACCCTAGAAAAATTTTAAGTTATACCAAAAAAATTGGACTATTTAATAGAATATGAAAATATATAGTTATCGTTATCGGTGTATATATATATACATACACTGAAATTACTATTGTATATACGAATGTAAATAAGCCTTTTCCATATTTACAAAAAATAATTATAAATGTTTGTTCGTGTTTTTAGCATAATGAAAATAGTGTGATCGTGTGCGGTTGCGAGCTCCGAAAGACTCTTACTAAAAACACGTCTAGTTTTGTAACGGTGAAACCTGTTGGCGCTTAAATGACCAAAATTGTGTCGATAGTGCCGTAAAATATCTACCCAATCAATCAATCAATAAGTTTACAAACGAGAATTTTATCATCAGCAAGCAGCAGACGTGACAGACCTCCGACCGATCGGCCGCAACAAAAATCAGGCTCCCTAATGATAAAATTTTCGTTTGTAAACTTGTTAAAAACTACTTCTTAACGTAAAAATAATAATAAATTTGGAACCGGCATATAAAAATGAACAAAATCACTCTAGGATGACTCTTTTTGTAGCTGGATTTCGAAGATCACAAAAAAAGTGATTTTGCTTAGATTGCAAATGTGCATTTTCTTATCGCTAAAAGGACGGACAACTGTCAGAGTACTGAATGAGCTCGTCAGGACTCAACGTGTAATTACAGGCTTAACCGTTTCACCACAGACGCCGGTATTGTGTCGCCAGAGTCGTAAAATATTCACTTTCAACGAATCTTCACTACTGCACAGGTTGTTCTGGATCTGGACCAGGCCCCATCATGGGCTGTGCTCAAACAAAAGAGGGCCGCTGAGAACATACGATTCAACCTGCCCAGTGATCTGAAGAGACTTGAGGGTAAATGATGTGAGAGGGTGCGTGGGCGGGGAGCTGGTTCGAAAAATCAACGGATCATTCATGATGAATAGTAAATTGTAATTTCAGTTGTTTTGTCCCTCAGGTCGAACTAATCACAATTAGTCTCACTTTTAACATTTTCTTGCATAAAAACAGTTTAGCGAGCCAAGCAGTCACAATCCCCTGTAGCTTCCAGTGTGTGCAATGGATTGCAGTACAACGTCCGGTAGATTGTAAAATCATTCTTTCTTCTATTGCTCAAAAATTTGTAAGGTGACTAGGGGTTTGATAGGGGGGGGGGAGGAGGGTATTCGTATCCAGGAGTCGAAATTTTCGTTGGTCTATTGCATAAGAACTGAGCTGAGGGGTAGAGCCGCAGGCAGTTTTCATACTCATAACAATAAAGGATTAATATAGATGCTCTTTCTACCTCATAACCTTAATTTAGATCATTTAGGAGTTGGGCTCTGACAACGCTTGCCAGAGCCAACCCAGGCTGTGAGGGGTAAGGCTCCGAAGCAGAACGCCCGAGTTACTTGAAAAAATCTCTCACCACTCGGATATCTACATTAATTCAGATATCCTGCTTGGGTTGGCTAACCGCTACACCACAGACGCCGTTTTCATAACTGTGTATTTTGAAATGGTAATAGTAATAGTTATCGTTACTTATCTCGTAGCAATACATTGTACCTCTGATTCGAAATACAGTCAAACTTGTACTTGCGGTCTCCTCGCCAAAGCGGTCACCTGTACTAATGGCTGCTCTTCCGATACTCCCTTCTGGCTGCCAATGTTGTAATAACCAAACTTGTCGAAACATCCCACATTGAACGCTACTTGGCACTTTCTGTTACCCAGAATTCCATACACATGCAACAACTTTAGATAGATAGATAGATAGATAGATAGATAGATAGATAGATAGATAGATAGATAGACCATGTTTACGTTGTCTTGATTACCACATCCAGGTTCTCACCACATTCACTTTCATAACGTTAACATTTTACGTAATTTAGTACTCTTCACAGCCCCCTCCCCGTTTGTTTGGGTTTTTTTTCGAAACAATCACCCTCATATACGCATAAACACATTCTCACATACATTGACTCTCGCACTCACATACACCACACACATTCACACGAACAAAAGCTCAGGAAAAAACGGATAAAGGCAATCGTATCTTTCTTCCAGGAGTAACGCCCATGGAGTTTCTGACAGGGTATACTTCACTTCATTACCAGCAACGAAGATCGTACTATAGGATCTTCAGAAACTTTAGGAATAAAGAAACTGACTTAATGGAAAAAAAGGTACGAATTGACTTCTTCACTTGGTCTCATTCACTACATTACGACGCCATCAAATGTAGGAGCGGAAAGGTCGTCAGCAATTGCAAACAAACATCTTACTCCAATAACGAGGTGAAAACATTATATCGTTCAATTGATGTAAACTGTTTACTTCTAGCCGAGAGCATTTCATATACTCACCTTCTATCATTATTATTTTCCGACAGACGTGGCATATAAATAATTTAATACATGAGTTGTGGTGTTAGATCATGATTTATCCTACGAGTGAAATTGCCAAGTTGTAATCACGAGTTTCAACGAGTGATTACAACTGGCAATTTCACAAGTAGGATAAATCATGGTCTAACACCACAACGAGTGTAATAAATTTTGTATACCATACTGATATCAGCTGGCGAAATATGTCCGTATGAACAAAGTTCAAATGACCCGTCAAATGGACAAAAGAATGCATTCTAGAGTCTCAGATGAAAACAACATTTTCATGCCCGTCGAAGTCAGATTGAGAATTGGGAAAAATCTGGATTGTTTTCCTTTACTTTTAGCAGAGAGTATTTAAATATATTTTAGTGTCTCTGCTTTTAGCCACGCTAATTTACAAGTTGTGCTATCCGTATGCATCCCTCCGCGAAACAAACCCCAAACAAAACTATAATAACGTAAATATAAGCAAAAGTTCAAAAGTTGAAAGAAACTGCATTAAAATAGCATGTTTTTGTTGGAATAGAGATGACTTTGATTTTGATTTCAAACTTCGTAACCAAAACAAACCAAAGGCAAAGAGTTATCCTAGACTATTCTCTAGATCTAGATATTAGAACTAACGCATTGCTTTAAATTGGTCAAAGATTTTTTTTAAAAGCCTTTTTAACAACACATTTTGTCAAGTTACTTGGATTCTGACGTGCTGATTCTAAATATTAAATATGTAGTTAGATATCTGGTTTTTGTCTATCGATTTCCGATATTCTGGATTTTATAAGGGGGGGGGGGGAGAATATCAGAATAACAAGGGAAGTAACTTTTATTTTTTCCCAAAAAGTAATTTTCCAAGAGTGTTATACTCGTATATTGACTAATATCATATTTATCAATTACATATTGTTTTTAAGTTTAATTTTCTTTGTTTTATATAGTTGATCATTTAGTATATGTAGTGATAGAGTTAATGTAAACAAAATTCAAAAAGCAATGCAAGTGACCTAGACAGTGGGATTTTTATTGTTTGATAAAGTGACTATTAAATTTCAAACTATTGTAACATTTTCAATTTGTCTTTCATGAACATTTCATTTATTCATTCAGGCTGATATAGTCAGATATAGACCTAGATCTAGAGTAGATTCTAGATCTAGATCTGTGTGTGTCGCTATGTAGCATGTAGTAAACTGTTTACTATTTATTTATTTAGTCGTGTTTTGGATCTTTCATTTTGATAATTAAAATGTATTTAGATCTAGACCTAGATCTAGTGTCCACTGTGCGTCCACCCATTGTGTTTATCTGGTGTGCTGCTACAATGTCTGAGAGCAAAAAAGAAACTCCCAAACATCAGTTGTACTAGATCTAGATCTAACTGATTTGAAAGAGGGCAGTTTAGCTGCACCTGACAAGTCGCATTATTATGATAACCCATTAGAACAAATGATTATTTTATTCGAGAAATGAACTAAACGTAACAGCACCATACTCTGGCGTAGGTCTAGAGATCTAGATCTAGATCTAGATTCTAGATCTAATCCCGGTTCATTACGGTGCCCATCATTTGACTCTATTTGAAACAAAATTAAGGGCACCGTAGATCTAGATTCTAGAAAGATTTGAGCCTAACCAATATAAGAGACTGGGAGACTAGTGTTTGGTTGCCCATGGTGAGCGCGCTTTGCAGTGAAGTTTTTAAGTTTTTACTAGATTTAGATCTAGATATCTAGATCTAGATCTAGGCTACTTTGCTTAGCCTATACAGAGGGATAAAAGTAGAAGGCGAATATAGATCTAGTGCACGGAGTAATTTATGCAAATTTTTATATTTCACGTGTGAGATATCAGCTTATATTTCACGTGTGAAATATAAGGATATATTTTACCGGAAGTGCAATGCTAAAACAGCTCCAAGTATGGTATAAAAATAAATTGCTGATTTTATGGTTTTCAACATATAAATCATAGACTCAAATTCTAACCACTTGTTCATATTACAGTCCCATTATAAGGCAGTTGAATGAATTTATAAACCATAGAGTAATTTACCTTGACAAGCTAGTAGATCTAATCTTTGCTGAAACTCGTGCAACTTACGGAAACGTCTTACGTCAGCTCACGTGCAGAATTTACAAACCTTCAATTACAGCTTGTTCACTTCCGTCTGTCGGCGTTAAAATTATACATTGATTTGCCTACGAGCACGAAACTTTGCCTGAGGACTAAACAAAATAGTTTTATCTCATTCTTGATCCAGTAATAAAAATATTTTCTCTTCGGGCCTCTTAGATCTATTAAAATCCCACTTTGGATGCATACACAGGATCACTATAAGTTTATTCACTTTAGTTTGACTGCGTAAAAAAAATCTAGCTCATCCATTAAATTACCTATTCCCCCGACTGTGCATAGCTGTTCTGCAGATATCAAACAGAATCTAAAAAGCCGTTAATAAAACTCACGGCACGTTTTCTTTGACGTAAGATTAAAGTGGTCAAGAAAATAATAGGGGATTTACAGTAAACTCCTATAACATAAAAAGTTGACAAAATTTCCTCAACACCACACTTAAACTTAAATGTAATCTAAGAATGGCGAATACCCTGACGGAGTGAGTAATTTTCGAGAAACACGTGGAGCATGTGAGGACGTCTATATAGTTGAGGGATGAAATCTACAAGATTACATTGAAATGTGGGGGTAGTTAGGTGTAGCTGTCTCAAAAGGAGCAATTCGTAGGCGAAGATACTATCATTATTTTAGATCTAGATTTTAGATCTGGTGATTCTCTGTACGCCTCCAAAGAGCGGTTTTTATAGTCTGGACAACACCAAATGGATAATTTGTCGACCTCCTTACACCGAATCTAAGAGGCAAATTGCTCTGATTTTTTGTATGCAAATAATATGAATTCTAAACGACCTAAAAAAACAAAAACTTGCTTTTCGTGCATATACGACAAAATAAAGAGGTTCTGTCTATAAAATCATTAGTAATTAATTGCTCATTAAACTCAACACGGGGGTTCTCGTTGCAAGAGAGGTTAAGGTGTTCGCCTCTCATTCAATGGGTCCAGGATAGCGACGGAGCATTTTCTTTTCTAAAATTGTATCTTTTCACATCCTTTTCTGCTCTCTAACACTGTTCTGTCGTCTGCTTTTGTCTCCACTTTCTGCCCCGCCCCCTCACTTCCTTTCCCCCACCTCTGGGCTCCTGACTCTTTCTGCAGCCTTTTTACTGCTACTCATTAGCTCCTTCTTACTGCTGTCTTCCTTTCTTTTTTTTCTTTCTTTTTTTTAGGTAAGTGTTTTACGGCGCCCGCAACTGCATGAGCGCGTGGGACTTTTTCAGTTGGAGGGAAATTTGGAATTTTGCCCTGGTGGCGGCCGAGCTTACTCTTATCGAATTTAGACTACAAAGGGATTTTAACGTGCGCAACTTGCACACGAGACCTCCGAGATTTTTTTCGCCCTTCTCCGAGAAGGCTAGGTGTCAATCTTTCCTATCAGAAGATCAGGGGTCTGGCTGAAAGACAGCAGTAAGAAAGAGCCAAGGAGTAGCAGTAGAAAGGCTACAGAAAAAATCAGGAGCCCAGAGGAGGGGGCAAAAGAGGTGAGGAGGTGGGGGCAGAAAGTGGAGACGAAATCTGACAACAGAACATTGCTAGAGAGCAGGAGAGGTGGTGAAAGAAGACAATTGTAGAGAAGAAATTTTTTCCGTCGCTACCAGGATTCGAACCCCGGACCTTTGAATGAGAGGCGAACACCATAGCCTCTAGGCCACGAGAGCCTCCCCTATCTTTCAGCCACACCCCTGATCTTCTGGTAGGAAAGATCAACACCTAGCCTTCTCAGATAAGGGCGTAAAAACTCGGAGGTCCCGTGTGCAAGTTGCGCACGTTACGGTCCACAATCGATAAGAGTAGACTTCGGCCGCCACCAGGGCAAAATTCGAAATTTCCAACCAACTGAAAATGTTAAATGTGTCCGGCGCGCCGTAAAACACTTACAAAAAAAACAACACAAACACCGTGCACGGTACCATTCTAAAACCGTAAAAATACAGTGTGTCCTGGCAGGAGCTCAGCCAGAAATTTCCAGTTTGGGGGGGGGGGGGGGGGTTGAAGGGGAATACAGTTTGGTCAAACGCAAAACCAGAGGTCAACAGAGAGCTAGATTTGAAGCAGTAATGGACATGTCACAGGGCACCCCCCCTCCCCCAGTGCATTTCCATAGGCAGAGCCAACCCCCCCTCCCCCCACTTACACATACATTTTTGAGCCACCCGAGGAGTGCTATGGCATGTCTTGTCCTTTTTTCGAGATTTTTTATAGAATAAAAGAAACGGCCTCAATCAGCTTCTTAGGAGAAAAGGTTCAGTAGTTTTGGGGCGTTTTTGGGGCGGTTGTAAATAAGTTTATCTAACAATGGTGATTAATGAAAAAAGCAAACGCAAATTGAAACTCGTGCGATCTCAAAGGCTGTGAACATATACAAGAAATTGTACACAGTGTATAAATCTATATCACAATTAGTCAATCTAAATGAACACACTGTCATCAACTAACTGCTGGACTGACAACAACTCACGTCTTCCGGCAAACGCAGTCAGTTCATAAGAATAAATAGGTTAAGCAAACAAAAAACTAACACTCAACTACTGTTCTTGTTCAAATAAAGAGCCCTCCCCACACTGTAATGAAATACTAATGACTATATTGAAAACACCTCTTTAGATTTGTTGCAAATGGACAAAAGTCGATATTTTTTAAAGGTTGTTTTGTAATGCATATGCGCATGCAAAAAAAATTAGAGCAATTCGTCCCTAAGATTCTGTTTAACGAAGTCGGCAAGTTGTCCATTTGATGTTACTCAGACTATAACATAGGGCCCAAAGAGAAACACTTTTGTCTATCACTGGATCAAGCTTTTTAATAAAGAAATATTTTAAATTATTTTTGTTTATTCGCTGGCCAGCAGAAGTGCCACGCAATGTTTTGTGGGCAAAGGCAAATTAGCAAATAAGCAAACATTTTTAACGCGGTCAGGCGAAAGTGAACAAGCTACACTCCCCTGATCTTAGCGTGGGTAAGATCTAACATCTTGATCTAGCCTTCTCTTAAAATGACGCAAAAATCTTGGAGGTCCCGCGTGCAAGTTGCGCATGTTGAACACCCCGTGCGAGTCCTAAAATCGATAAGAGTAGGCTTCGGCGCTCCTGGTCAAAATTCAAAATTTTAATTCCTACCAAACTAAAAAATGCTTTATGTACCCCGCGCGCCCATATGACCTTATACAGTAGCGAGCGCTGTAAAAAAAAAACTCGCCCTCCAAAGCCATAATTAAGCTATGGATACTCTCTCTCTCTCTCTCTCTCTCTCTCTCTCTCTCTCTCTCTCTCTCTCTCTCTCTCTCTCTCTCTCTCTCTCTCTCTCTCTGCGCGCGCGCTCTCTCTCTCTTCTCTTTCTCTCTCTTCTCTCTTCTCTCTCTCTCTCTCTGTGTGTGTTTATATACAAACATGCATACACAGCTTCTAAAAGAGGAGGATACACTTCAGGGCAATAACTCGGTCAAAAGTAGAGCACTAATTTCAAGGAAAGTTTGTAAATATCAAGAATATCCATCAATTTCACCTTGAATTAATATTATCAAATTTTAAAGATTTCGATAAAGATTGTTAAAAGCAAAATGTCCCTCTTAAGAACGTAAAGGAGTGATCGGCCCGTTCCGGTTTCAGGACGGACGGTAAAATCCCAACATTCACATCACCATACTGAGAACATTTTGGAGAAGTTTGGGGTGGAGAATTAATAATCATTGAGTTAGTCCACGACTTAAGAATGCCTAATTTAGAAAGGCTATTAATGAATCCGGGACAACAGCGCTGCATTCACAGTGATCAACAGCACGGGGAGGGGGGAGGGGGAATCAGAACACAACACTCCTAACCTCACCGAGCAAATGTAACCAACTGCAACGTTTCTGGAAGATCATAAGACATGAATGTCATGAACGAGCAGTGTACACACCCGACACGTCTACAACAGCGCAGATATTGATGAACTGAACCGCAAAGTGCGGGCAAGAGGACGTTTTTGCGAATCTGCTGCGATAGAAGCTCGCGCTGCCGCGAAAGTGGGACAGAATTTGTCAACACAATATTCAGAATGTTATATAATCCATGTGAAGACGTCTTTTGTCTGTATACATGTTAATGCTTGCAGTGCGGTTTACTAGGAGTGAGAAACCTTTATCAAGTTTCGATTTGTGTTTATCTGAAAACTTGTCTAGATGGGGTACTCCGAAAGAAGGAAGACACGGTATCGAAATCATTTAAAGTAAGTGATGAAAATGGTACCCAATTTTAGGAAAAGGAATTAACTTCAACATGCACTTCTTTTAATCTATTTGATACTAACGTGTACAGACTCTTCGAACGCAGTGTTGAGTCTTTAATGGCGTTCAGTTCAATAGTATATTATATTTTATTATATTATATTATATTTATGTATATATATATATATATATATATATATATATATATATATATTTATATATATATATATATATATATATATATATATATATATACAATTTAATTTTTTTCTTTTCTTTTTTTCCATTAACACACTACTTTCCAGCTCACCTATCACTCCGCAGAACCTGTACCCAGCTCTGAACGTCCTGTTTGCCAACAGCTTGGGAGAACCAAACTACCATGTGCTTGTTAAACGTTTGCATCTGCTCGATGTGGAGAACATCAACTTTGATATGTTTGTGGGCATTTGCGCTTTCTGTGACCGAAAGTACTGGAAAATGTATTTTGAGAGGTGAGTGGGAAAAAAACTATGTTTACAGTCGCATCGTTGCAATATGCACGCCGTCAAACAGCTAGACAGCACGGGGCATAATGATAGACATGCAATCCCTTCACATTCACACACACACACACACACACACACACACACACACACACACACACACACACATTGTATAAAGTATGGTTGACAATTATATCAGTTTTCATTTTCTACTGCTCCCTTTTTTTCTTTTTTTTCGGTAAGTGTTTTACGGCGCTTGTAAATGCATAAGGTAATATAAGCGCGGGACACATTCAAATTTTCGGCTGGTAGGACACTTGTAATGTTGCCCGGGTGGCAGCAGTAGCGTACTCATCTATTTTGGAATAACAAGGAATCTTTAAAGTGCGCAACTTGCACACAGGACCTCCGAGATTTTCCCCTTCATCCAAGAATGCAAAGTGGGATCAAGTCGGGTCGCGGTGGCCTGCTAGCCAGATTGAGGGCGCAAAGCGGCTATCGTAGCACAAGCCAAATGTGTCCAACTCGTCGCCTAAAAAACAAACGCGCAACGAACACCCCGCATTAGATCTTACCTACCCGTAAGATCAGGGCTGTGGCTGAAAGACATCATTTTGAAGGAGCAAAGGAGTAGCAGAAGAAAGGTTGCAAAAAGAGCCAGAAGCCCAGGGGAGGGGGCAAAGGAAGTGAGGGGGTGGGGCAGAAAGTGGAGACGAAAGCGGAAGATAGAACATTGTGAGACAGCAGGAAAGGCGGGGAAAGTAGAACTCTTTAGAGAAGTAAATATTCCGTGGCTGACTGGATTTGAACCTTGGACCTTTAGAATGATTGAATTAGAAGCCCCTCTACTGCTCCTAAAACTCCCCGTCAATGCAATAATTGACATAGTTAAAGAACAAGGCTAAGGACCTACATGTAATCTCTATGCAGAATGTTTTTGATGACTGGTATTTACAATGTTATATACCCGAACCTGTTCTAGCGGCCTTTGTCCAAGGTAGTCACCTGTCTAAGATAACCACTTTTCTCCTCGCCAAACAGCTGTCTTGGACAATTTTGACTCTATTTATTTTTAATCATCTTGCTCCAAGCAAAAGCTTATAGCCTTCCTGTTACCTCCATGTCTGCTCGCCCTGTCCTACCCCCCCCCCACACACACACAATGTGACAGCACAGTCAATCGACCCCCGTTAGAGGCGCTGGATTTCCACAACCTGGACAAGAAGATGTACCGAGTGAACATCTCTGAAGACCTGCAGCTGCTGCTCTTGTCCCTCCACTGACGACATTGCTCTCCTTAAACCCTGCTAACCGCGGAAAGAAGCACTGACGAACAAACATTATGTACATAGTCCTCCCCCCCCAACTAAATGTGTGTGTGTGTGTGTGTGTGTGTGTGTGTGTGTGTGTGTGTGTGTGTGTGTGTGTGTGTGTCTGTGTGTACATGTGTGTGCATGCGTGCGAGTGCGCGTGCATAATATGTGAGTATGTGTGTTTGTGTGAGTATGTGTGTGTATGTGTGTATGTGTGCGTTTGTGTGTGTATGTGTATATGTGTGTATGTTAGTATATATGTGTGTATGTGTATGTATGTGTGTGTTCGTGTAAGTGTGTATGTGTATGTGTGTGAGTGTATGTGTGTATGTCTGTTTACGAGTGTATAATGTCTGTGTTGTGTTTGTATGTGTGTGTATCTGTGTGCATCTGAGTGTATGTATGTGCGGGTATGTGTTTTTTATGAGTGTTTGTATGTATGTGTGTGTGTGTGTTTGTGTGTGTGTGTAGTGTAGAGTGTATGTACGGTGGAATCAGTACTAGTCAGTCTTTTGACATATTAAAGAGTTGTCATCATTTTAAAACTATTTCACTTGTTTTCATTTTGCTGAAAAAAATACCTATGTACCTCGCTATGAAATCAATAATATACTATAACTTGCAATTGAAGTGCGTTGGGGTCAAGGCCACGTGAGCCCACTGCTCAACGTTTTGATGTTTTGGGCGTAATCTATATAGGCCTATTCTCTATTATTTTTAACCCACATTAGGCTAACATCAAGAAAACGTGTAGGAACCTATGCAGTGACCTCCATCTATGAGCTTTCAGATTCTGTTGGTCATCCGACTTTTAGACTCGCATACAAGACACGAGAACATTAAACATAGTGATTTGTTTTTATTGTTTCAAACGTGGACAGTCATATAAACAAACTATGGTACGCATTTGTTTCAGAATGAATCTGAATATTTTGGGCTATGTTTGGTTGTACTTATATCGTTTTGTCATTTGCTATGAAATTATCTTTTACATAATATGTTAGATTTTAAAGTTTTGCCCCCCCCCCCTTACACACACACACACACACACACACACACACACACACATTTTAAACATTTTTAAAAATTAGTTGATTGACCTGACGACGCCACTCCCCTTTCCAAAAGCTCAAGAAGTGCTGGGTAGGTCAGCTGAGCGTGAAGTAAAGTGGCATCAAACCTTTTGACGATATTGCACTGGGTGAGTGCTTCCAATCATTTATTCATCGTCGACTCGTTGACTTCTTCATTCTGGGAGAAGGAAAGTGATCGTTTCAGCCAAGCATAGGGGGACCTTGTGTTTTATCACCATCGGCTCAATTTTTATTCTGTTCGCGCGCGCGCGCGTGTGTGTGTGTTTGTGTGTGTGTGTATGTGTGTGTAGGTGTATGTCTGTGTCTGTGTGCGTATGCGTATACGTGCTTGTATATGTATACGCTATTTTGTAAGTACCCGTACAGCTCTCACTCTAAACCTTTGTGTGCAAGAGGCCAAAGTATGAGCCAAGTATTTTCTCAGTGTCTTTTTTCCCCAAATGTTACTCTTCTGTTCAAGGCAACTTTAGTTCTAGAGCAATCTTTGAAATCTATAACATAGAATACCCTGCAGTGAGACGGAAGCAAAAACTCTAATAAATATCCACACGCCGACACATTCCCAATTCCTGCAGGTTGCTTCACACGCATTAACAGATAATAACAATAAATAGTAAGACCAACACACCCGTTCAAGAACAAAGTCATTCTTAAACAAACATACACACAAAGGAACTATTCCCAATGTGTGTGCATTCTGCTCAGCTACACCAGCCTACACCCAATGCAACACTGCAAATCGGATTCATCGATTTGATTGGGGCCAAGCAGATTTTTCCTTCATGGACGAGGCAAAGGCTATAGTTCTGACACAATACTACCCATTCAACTCAGGACTTTGAAAAACAAACGTGTTTGATTTTGAAGGCCACAGTCGAATATAGCTGAATGCCCTCCCATTTTGCTGAAATGATAGCTTTCGTCCCGTACATGAAGGAAAGTGTGGCGAACTCCGACCCAAATCAATGAATTTGATTTGCAGAGTGTGCGCGTGTGATCCCTGGGTATAGAATCACATCACACACACGCAACACAACTATTGCCTGCCTCTTAACCCCCCTCCCCTCCCTCCCTTTTCGTCATTGTTCTGTTGCTGTCATTGCGATGCGCCCTCGGTGTTTTTTTCTAAACAGGTTTCATGATATCCCCACATTATTGTGTTATATTATAATACGAACCGACTTCGATCGTCTACATCCCCCCCCCCCCTCTCTCTCTCTCTCTCTCTCTCTCTCTCTCTCTCTCCCCCCCCCTCCCTCCATCCCACCCACCCCATGGTCCTGTACTCCCGTTGTCAGACAACAAAGATCGGTTATGCTCCGCTCCCTCTAAGAGCATATTAATATCTATAACCCCCAATGAATATCCCCACCCAAATAAATCATACGTTGGCACTGTGAAAAAGAAATTACGATGTATTCGTCTCGATTCCGTCCATTCCAGCCCCCGGCACATCATTAATGGATAAGCCTCGAAGCAAGCGCTCGCTCACGTAAGCCCTGTTGAAAGTGCTCTTGTGTGAGTGTGTGTATGTGAGTGTTGCAATGTGTGTGTGTTCTTGTTGGTTCATGTATGTGTTTGTTTGTTTGTGTGTGTGTGTGTGTGTATGTGTGTGTGTGTGTGTGTGTGTGTGTGTGTGTGTGTGAGTGCGTTTGTGGGTGAGTTCAAAAGTGTACAAGTGTGTCTAAATGTGAGTTCTCTTATCTGTGTGACTGTTAACTACTTGCCTATGCGTGTGTATGAATGTGCATGTACGTATGTTTGCGTTTGTGCGAACGTACAAGTGAACGCCTATGACATTTTATGATCGCAAGTGTGTACTTTTGGCCGGGTGTTCGTTTACCTGAGGGATTGTATTGATCTGGAACATCCGTGTTGTGTTCCCCTTGTTTGCTCAGCCGTCCGTGACCACCCATCATGATTTCCCCGATAATCACCCTTTCCCGCACCGGCTCACACGGGACCACAGCACACGGTTGATGAGGTGTAGTGGGAAGGGGGCTTGTTCCGATCCTCTTATTTGAGTCTTATCCATCTCCGGTGCTCGGTAATGTGTTGTTTTGTTAGTTTGTTTGATTGTATGTTTTGTTTTTCGTTTGTTCGTTAGAGTGCCCGCTATTTAGATTATGATGATGAGAATGATGATGATCTATGCAGAAAACCCCCATTATACTACAAAAATATCTTTCTTTAGGCGATTCTTGTGAAATTAAAAACGTAATTTATCTCATCTCATGTAGCGTCTACTTGACACCTAAGAACTAGATTTAAGAACCAAAGATATTCAGTGCTGAAAAATTCTTGCACGTCAACAGGCTTACATTTCAACAGTACTGGCCACGGTAGAACTTCTGATAATATGTACGTTACAATTACCTATCTGAAGGTATCATTTCTTGTTCAGAGTTTGAGGTGTAATGACCCTCCAGTGCCCACGGTGGTTTGTTGCAGTTTTATGTATTGCCATACTCAGATACTCAGACGAGTCCTTGTCTTGAAGTTGTCCGTCCTTGTTGCTCTCTGTATTCTGGCCCTCTCGCCCCACGTCTTGCCTCCAAGCACTTCTTTTACAATGGTTTGGTGGCGTTTTATACAGTAGTGACAGGTGGGTTGGAAAAAGGATGGGGATTACCGTGATCAAAAATTGGGATCACTCAGATTATAAAGAATGCATAATGGCTAAAAAGACAGTGGAATACATATGTAAAAAACAACGCAAAAGAATTGAATAGATTTATAATCTTTCTAGTAGTGATACCACGTTTGAAACCTTGAAAATGGACTCACCTACATGATTATTTGGTGAGCAAATTTGCTGATGACTTTTTGACTGGACGGTGCATCCTTCATGATGAACCCTTCATAGTTAAGTTATCTCTTTTGCCTTCAATTCAGAAGGGGGTCCCAAACTTCTGCTGTATTATTGTGTGATCCCAGTCTCTTGACAGGGAGCTTAGCTTTACTAAAGCGAATTTCCAAATGTATTCTACATGATACATTGCTGCATTGAAGAACGAACATTTAGATTCCAATTTAAAACTACCACAACTCACTGATACAAAACAATTATAGCGCTTGCTTCATTGGTCGTCTGATCTCCACACTCAGATCCCAGTATACACAGTTAGCAAGAGATCACACTAACAGTTAAAAAGCTCAAAACTTCATTCAAGTGCAAGTGGAGCCTAATGACATCATCACAGTAATAATGCTTAACCAAAGAAAACATAGAGCCAAGGAAAAACAAAAAAGAGTGATGGGGGGTGGGGTGGGGGTCTTTATCTACGCTTTAGCTTGGAGCCACGAGGGTATGTATGAAAATTTGGTGTCAACAGTCAAGTGTGCGATGCCTAATCACGTGACCCAGTGCGGCTTCAGCCCCGAGCCTAGTGGATTAATCAGTTGCTGTGTCTCGGCCCTGAGCCATTCAAGGTCAAGACCACAGTAATATTCAGTCTGTTGGAACTTCCAATGAAATTTCATCCTCCTCAGATTAATCAGATCACTTTTCGAATTGCTATGCCATAAACTTTTCGTTTGGGTGTTTTCGTGGAGTTTCGCTTTTTATCAGTATGTGTTATTATTTTTTTGTCACTTTTGAAATGTTTGTGAAATGTTTTGTTTTGATTTCATTCAGATGAATAACTTTTTGGTCATGAAAACTAGATGACACCTCTCTGATGACACTGAAACTGTAAGCCACACCCCACAAGACGCTGCTGGTTTTTACATCACTTAAGTAGTGTGTGTTTTTTACTTTTTATTGCCCTTTTCGCATCGTGCGGCTTTCCCGGTGCGCATTCCCTAAGAACGCCATTATTTTATGTGCGCTATTCCCTGGAAACGCACTATTTTGGTGTATTTTCAAAGAAATATATCTCAACGGTTTTAAATCTTAGATGTTTGTATTTGGTGTTAAAGTAACGTTCAAATCTTTGTCAACACAAACATATAGTTTTAAGGACCACTTTCAC